GCTGTTTTGATACTTTCATCAGTTGTTTTGGTTTTCTACTGTCTTAGTAAACTGAGTACATTATTCATTAATTATAAATCTAAGTTTTGGCAATTTTATACGTGAATCTTGTCTATGCACTAGCAGTGGAGACAAATATTAATTAAATCTGCTACTGATCTTTTGATCTTGATCAAATGTAGATCATTGTTTCTAGATTCCACTCACATCAGAAAAATAATGACTATTGAAAATACTTAAAGGAAACAGTAAAATTAAAGAAGCAATGATTCCTTTAGCCATTTCAAAGTAAAAAAGTATTTCTAGTTTAATGAAGAAAATAAGGAAAAATCAAAATATAATTTGATATTGGAATATTTATCAGTACATTTTGTAATGTTTGGTAGTTTACTTGTTTATAGATTGTTGGTTACATTTGGTGAACTCTACAAGTTATTTGTAACAAAATTTGGTCCTATTCTACTTGTTAGGATTTATTAGGTACAACTAGTTATGTCCATCATCTTTGCTTTCCGTTAAAACAAATAATCAACCATGAAAAAAATTATAGTATGCCATTAAAACAGCATAAAAATAGTTAAAATATTAGAAGGTAATAAGGTAAAGAATAATTATTCTAAGATCTTATGAGTGAAAGCAAAGAAGAATGTGTACTGATGTTCGAACCACACTTTATCTCCTATGTTCAGTGCTGATTAGGCTTTTTGGCTCATAGCAGAGCTTAATAGGCCAACTGGATATGGCAGACATATCTAGTAGTGGTCTAGGTGCTATTTATACCATCAGTTGCATGAAGAATTATTTAATCCAGTTCACACCATTACATCAGGTGAAGTGTAACTATTAGCTATTTATACCATCAGTTGAATGAAGAACTGATGTAATCGTGTGAACTGGATTAAATAAGTGAAGTGTAAGTATTAGTTATTTATACCATCAGTTGCATGAAGAACTGATGTAATGGTGTGAACTGGATTAAATAAGTGAAGTGTAAGTATTAGTTATTTTAAAGTTGTTTACAAATTGGACTAATGGAAAGGATCAATAGCACAATATTGTTTACTTTGAAGTATAGCAGAAAATTATAGTTTGTAAACATCAAATATCATACCTCAACCAGGGCTGTCAGTCTGAGTTGAGCACTGAGTCAAGGTTAATAAGTTTAATTCTGTTAGTCAACAAATATTTTTATATATAACCTTTCAGTTCACTAACAATAAATTGTGTTTCCTTGTAGCCAAATGACTGATCAAAAACCAAACTTGGGAAAACCTTCAATTTCCATTAGCCAAACAGGGGGTCCTCAGTCTATTAAAACTACAGTAACAGGTATTGTTATTTATCAATTCATTTAGATGTTACACAGTGGTAAAGATTTTTGTAATCCTATTGAAAATCTCTTGATTTATATTTATCTTGGATTTCTAACTTAATATTGAAATCCAGTGTACTGTCAGTGAGATATCCTAAAACTATTACTGTAATGTTCATATTCCAAAGACAAGAACTGTGAAAAGATGTCTTGTAAGCAGTTCTTTATTTGTTTTTTGTTAAATTTCATGATATAGAAAAAAACATCCTGATTAAATATAGTATTCATATCTTTAGATAATTCTTAAAAAAAGAAGAAATGAATAGGACCTGGGATGGTCTTGTTTGTTAGGGCACTGAACTTACAACCTATGGGTTGTGGATTTGATTCCATTACCGAACATGGTTGGCCTTGCAGCCATGGGGGCATTATAATGTGATAGTGAATCCCATTATTTGTTAGTAAAGAGTAAACCAAGAAGTGGTAGTGGGTTTTGTTGACTAGTTGTCTTCCCTCTGGTCTATCATTTCAAAGTTAGGGACAGCTAGTGCCCTCAAGTAGCTATGTGCGAAATTAAAATTTATGTAAAGAGTTCACATTACTGGTCCACATTTGACTTGTAAAGCCATTATTGGAAACAACAGACATGTAAATTTTTAGGAACCAGGATTGTACTGCCATTCATAGAACCTGTTCACAGGACTTTATCTATTGTTAAACTAACCATAAAGGTGTTCAAGAATTTGTATAAGTACTACTTCTAAATTTAAAATATGCACTTTTGTGTGTATCAGTAATCTTATGCAAGATATATCACTTTTACTTTGTAGGTTGTCGTAAAATTGCCGAGAATTTCTTTAATTTCATCTTTAAAAGTATTGAAACATTAGTCGAGGCACTAATGTCAAACAAAAGTTTTTTCATATCTTAGGTTTTAATAGACTTTTGCCAAATTTAAAGAACATAGTGTGTAAAAATCCATGAAATCTATTTGTTTCATTTTAAGATTAGAAAGTTTTATGAATACTGTGAAGATCAAGTAGTACGAGTTCCCAGCAGCCTTTTTTATCTCAATAAGTTTAGTTTTAAGATAGAAGTAGAACACTTGAATGGAATTTTTTTAAAATTCTTGCTGATTACTTTCATCATATAACTTAAGTAAAGCCCGTCATTTAATTTAATGGATTTTAACTCATAGGCTTGTGACTTTGAAAATAGAATTTTTAGAGTCATAACTTAGAACTTTTGTTTTGTTCCAGTCCTAGTGTTCAGTTGGAATATTATGGAATAAGAAAAAATTATAAGTCACTTTTTATATAGAGCATGATTGTTTTAAATGT